ATTCATATTGAATGAGGAAGATCATTAGACTTGAGTACCATCTCAATCCCTTTTTGAATGGCACAAGAATTATTCATGTCACATGGTGATAAAAATTGAATGTATTTTTATCTCATGTAGAATTACCTACTGTGATTCCTTCAACCCAAAGGTCAATCCATAAAAGGATTTTTAGACAGCAAGAAACAAAGCTTTCCTCTGCTGTTTAATGGTTGAGTAATCATGAGATGCAATTGCAAAATCCAAACAGAACTGAAGTTTTTGAACATTCCACTTGATTCTTGTCAGATATTCAGGGCCCATATTGTGGGACTGGAAGTCAATTCTGTCTTCTATACAAGGGAAGCTTTGGGGGCACTTTGTGTTAAGTGCCTTGTTGGTAACCATTTTGCATAACTGTGTCAAATGTATACTATTTCATTAATATAAACAAGTGTAATGATTTTTGAAATCATATAGAATTCATCCAATAATCAGCTGGAACTCATCTGTAACTTAGTTGCAACTAAACAGGACCAAATAATACAAATTGACTATAAAAAAATTGCAATCAAAGTGGAAAGTATCAATCAAAAACTGCTCATACCAGGGGGGCACTTCTAGCTGAATGGGGTCAGAAATGTTTCACCCTCATTTAGTGGGTGGACAGTGGACACACCCCTCTGTTCTGAACAGTGTGTGATTGGTGTGTTATTTTTCAACAAGTTGTGCTTGCACACAATTCAGTGACATATCACACACTGTTCAGATCTGAGGGGAATGTCCAGCTGACAAGTGACTGGTTTTTTTCCCCATGATGTACCCAATGAACAGGCCCCTCTGGTGTGAAAAATGTATGATCTGTCACCCTATTGTATGTGAGTGCAATAGGGTGACAGTCTACAGATCATAGACTGTTCTGACCTGCTCAGCTGGACATGCTCCTCTGGTCTGGAAAGTGTGATATGTCACCCAATTGTGATCAAGAACAATTCAGTGACATATCACACAATTTCCATACCAGAGGAGCATGTCCATCTGAATGGTGCCTGAACTGTGACACCCACATACAACTGGTGGGCATTACCCTCTGGTCTGAACAGTGTATGATATGTCACCAAATTGCACTTAAGCACAATTCAGTGACATATAACACACTATTCAGACAAGAGGGAAACAATTTGGTGAAATATACATGGATGGTACTTTAATTGAAAATGTAGAAACAAAATTATCACAGTAGAATTCAGCATGTATCCAAAGGAGTTGGATGATAGTTGGAAAAAGGAATCCCAAATTTTAGGCAACGAATCCCAACAACTGTTGATGGACATCTTTTGGGAGTTGTCTTCTACTTTTTTTTGCAGTCGTTCCACTAATTTTTTTTCTTCAATT